CGTCCACGCCCCAGGGCCCCACCTCCAGATACTCCAGGACGTGGGGGGCCCCTCCTCAGGCCTGGTCCAGGCTCCGCCCCAGCCCTCAACACCCCGGCCCCCTTTATCCTCCAACACCCTCTGACTGCACCTCCACCCCTATCTAGGGGACAACCCCAACAGGCCCATGAACCCCCTCATCACTGGGGTCTTTGGAGCTATCGCAGGTGCAGCCAGCGTCTTCGGGAACACTCCTCTGAACGTGATCAAGACCCGCATGCAGGTGGGATGGGGCCAGGCATGGGTAGGGGTAGCTTGGGCCGCAGCTAACTGCTGAGCTCTGGCCTGCTGGTGTCCTGCAGGGCCTGGAGGCGCATAAATACCGAAACACATGGGACTGTGGCCTGCAGATCCTGAGGAATGAGGGTCTCAAGGCGTGAGTGGGGGATGGGCAGGGCTATCGTACCCTCCTTGGACCCTCCTTGGCTGACCTAGCGTGCCCTAGGCATCCCCTTTAGCCTTCCATTCTCTCCTCTCTGATATCTGGGGTCGCCTTTTCCAGGGACCCTGCCCTTACCTGCCTTGCTCACCTTCTGCCCCTCCCCCACCCAGGTTCTACAAGGGCACTATCCCCCGTCTGGGCTGGGTCCACCTGGACTTGGCCATCGTGTTCATCATCTACGACGAGGTGGTGAAGCTGCTCAACAAGGTGTGGAAGACGGACTGAGCCTGTGGGCACACGTGGGGCCTGCCCAGGGCCCGCAGAACAGCCCCACGCCCTGGCTCGTGTGACTCCAGTGCAGTAGTGCCAAAAGGCCTTCCCGTGTCCTTTGAGTCTGCGTGCCCCGTAGTGCCGTGACTCCCCTGTAGTCTGTGTGTGAAACCACCACTGTGTCCACGTGTCTGGCTATGGCTGGGCATCCCTCCGTGAATCTGTGCCCACTTGTCCATGTGCTTCCTTGTGAGCCCTGTGCCTGTGTTTCCCGTTCTGTGTCATGTGACACTGTGCCCCTCGTCCCAGGGTGCCCATGTGGCATGGATCCGCGGCCCTGTAGCCATGGCCCGGTCCCAGCCCGGTGCCTCCCACCCTGCCCCGGCCTACCACAGCTGCCTCCGGGCCTTGGCCTGGCTTCACCGCATTCCAGGGGCTGCATGCCCCCAGCTTCTCCCACCATTGGCCTTAAGTGGCCCTCGGGCCCTCCCTCCGCCCGGAACAGGGTGGCACCTGCCACTCTCAGGACCACCCTGCCAAGGCAGAATAAACCGGATCCTGTTGCAGCCTCGTGCCCCTGCATCCGTTCCTGCGTGGGCCCGTCTGTGGGTGGGCAGGGGTGGCTGTATCTCTGCAGGCAGCCAGCTCACCCCTCACCTGAGGACACTGCAGCCAGGGGACAGGGAGAGCCCAGTGTCCACCCGGGCCAGGGCAGCTGGGGCCACAGTGTTGGTTCTCTGAGAGGCCTAGCACCAGGCCAGGAAGGATCTGGGCTATGTCCAGGCCTTGCCTGTGGCCTGAAGGTCCCGCAGGGTCGGTTAAACGGTGTGTTCACGAGGCCTCCAGGCAGCCTGGCAGGCAGCATGAGTGAGCAGAGGGGAGGGTGGGGCCCGGGACACAGCACTCCCAGGATGCCTGCCTGCCCCTATTGTCGGGGAAGGCCCAGGGAAAGGTGGGGGTGCAGGCCCCCTTGGCAGTCTGTGAAGTGGGCTGCTTGTGGGAAGGAGGCCCAGGGAAGTACTCCAGGTGGGGGTGCCCAGCTTCTGCCCTGAGGCTCTGGGCAGGCAGGGCCCTTCCTCACTCCACCCAGGCTGCTGTTGGCGGCGCTGCCTGACCAAGGCCTTGGGGACCTCTGGGCACCTCACCCCACAGCCCTAAGCCTCAGAGAGTGTTCCTTTGGCCAGAGGCCACAGAGCTCTGAGCCTGCAGGTCTCCATGGCCCAGGCCCATCCTCCACAGCCCATGAGCCAAGTGGAGGGCACCCTTGGACAGGACAGGGTCAACCAGTGCTCCCGGATGTGTGGGGGCAGGAGGTAGCTTCCTGTCCCAGTGCTTTGGTGGGAGAAAAGTCATGCAAGTGTTTGGCTCAGGCTGGGGAACAACCTTTTGCCAGCCGCAATTCCACAAAGGCAGGTCCTGTCCCTGGGGCTCTCCTTTCTGGAGGCGCCTCGGTGACCATGCAGCACCAGCGCCCCGGAGTCCAGGCCACGTGTGCATCGGGGGCAGAGCCTGGCGTGCAGGGAGCCCAAGGCAGATCTGACTGCCACTCGGGGGCTGGGGGGTGCAAAGGGAGTGCAGGGTTTTGAAGGCTCCGCGGGGAGAACCTGGAGGCTGGTCACCACTCACAGCCGCCTGCCTGCGTGACAAGCTGGCTGTGTGCTCTTTGTGCTCGCAGAATTCCCAGTCTTTGCTGCAACAAGAGAAAGGGCCCAGGCAACAGCCCGCCACCCTCCCCTACACACGCAGGGCACACAGTTGCTGGGGCTGAAGACACACCAAGAAGCTCCCTGTCCCCCAAGCCCAGGCCACTGGCTCTGGACCTCAGCAGCTTTGCAGTGGGGTGGGAGCAGGTGATGGGCAGCGCTGGTGCCAGGCTCCACGAGGAAGGGGCATTCTGGTCCTGGGCCCAGCACCTGTGGCCCTCTAGGCCTCAGCACCTGTGGGCAGTGGGGGGCGGGCAGGGCAGAGCGTGTGCCTCAGAACCTTGACTCCCTTATTGCTGTGTGACCTTGGGCAAATCACCTCACCCTGATTTCCTAATCTAAGAAGTGGGGTGACAAGAGAACCCACTTCAAGTTACAAAGGTGAAAGGATGTGCTCCTCTAAGGGGCTCGGGACGATGCTTAGTGTGCAGCAAGGCCTGGCAGGGCAGCTTTTCTCCTGGGTCACAGGTTGCCTGCGGTCTCCCCAAACTCCAGGCAGTTCCTGGAACAGGCAAAGCCTAGCAGGGACCCCATGCCTGCACATACTGAGACGCCAGATACTCACTGACTACACACCTGCACCTGAGTCCTGTCCTTGTCCCTCCCCACAGGGAGGAAGGGACTGAGGCTGCACTGGCTGAGTGCAGGGTTTAAGGTGGCATGGGTCTACATCCTCCCTGGGACCTGTCCCCAGGAGCATTCTAGCTCCTATCCCTCTCCCCCTGCAGGGAGCGCGGCCAAGCTCCCCGCAAAAAACCGGGTCCCTTTGGTAGAGTTGCAAGGAATAAGAAAATAATAGAGAAATGGAAAATAATGGAAATAAAAGAACACACAAAGGTATAGTTGTATAAATTTATAAAGATTATAGGCAAAGCAGGAGCTCAGGGGGCCTAGATTTCTCCATCAATCTCAAAAAGGCCACGAATGAAGT